GAGAGAGAGAGAGAGAGAGAGAGAGAGAGAGAGAGAGAGAGAGAGAGAGAGAGAGAGAGAGAGAGAGAGAGAGAGAGAGAGAGGGGGGCGTGACATTATTGTATGTTCAGTTCGCATAAAGCATGTGACATACAACAGTGTTTTCTCCTGCTTGGTGTGCTCGTGTATCGTCTGTTCGGCGTGCTTGTGTGTCGTCTGCTCAGTAGACTTGTGTGTTGTGTGCTTGGTATACGTGTGTGTCGTCTGCCCTCCTGCCTCCCCCATGCCCTCCAGCCTTTGTCCCTTGCTGCTGTTTCTCATCTTATGTCTTGTCGTCTCTTGTATTTCCCGTGTGTGTCGTCTCCTTGGTATACTTGTGTGTCGTCTGCCCTCCCGCCTCCCCAGTGCCCTCCAGCATTTGTCCTTTCATGCTGTTTGTCATCCTATGCGTTGCTGCTTTGCCTGGTTCTCTACCGTCTTTTCCATCTTGGTGCTCTTTTCCTTTGTTACTTTGGGAATGGTCCTGTTGCCTAGGTCGGTACTAGGTAGTACATCACCAAGTTGCTTCTAGTGCTACTCCCCGACCCACCCAGCCGTTCTAGTGATAAAGAACATAAGTCCGGCTGGATGTATTAGCCAATGGTTTGAACGGTCGTACCATGGCTTGCCGTGGGGTTCTTAGCATGTAATGCCAAGGATTACCACATGGCCACCCACCCACCCACCCACCCACCCACCCACACACACACACACACACACAGACACACACACACACACTTGTGCTCATACCCCACTCCACCCCACCCCACCCCACCCCACCCCCTGATTACTTGCCCGGCATGCTCTATTGTGACCTTGATCTGCCATGCTAAATAGCTTCACACGTCAGCCTTCGTTACTGCGGACATGTCAGTAACATGCCATGTGTCGTCAATGTTTCAGGAAGCTGTCATCGAAAGTATGTGTCTCTATTGTGTGGACTATCCCTGGTGTCATCATCCACCACGTCCTCTCCTAGCATGTCCCACATGCGGTGTTGGGCATACACCCACTGCAACCGCAGGCGGATTTCCTTCTTACTTGCTAGATGAACGACAGATGGAGCAGCCTGAGTAGGAAAATAGACTATGCATGTGAACCACCTGCAGAGCGCTGTACTGAAAGGTTATCGCCACCAGGGCGAGCCGTTGCATACCAAATCCTGCAGCAGCTGAACACCCTTTCTTCTTTGGATCAATTCCCGTTGTCGTCGTCTGCCCAATAGAGAGGGAATGAATACTGAGGAAGCCCAAGAAACCTGCTCCATGCCGCTATGTGATGACCCACCGGAGACTAGACCAGCATGTGGTCCGCATGTCTTGTGCCGTGAGGGTTACAAAGGGATAGCGCATGCGAGTTGGTCTCTTCATATGTATGACGACAATCAATACTGCACTCGTGTACGGCACCCTGACATGTCATGTTCAATTTGTAGACGTAAGGGGGAGGAACGAACGGCAATTCCTCTACAATTGCGGTCGGTGTGCCTCTGTGTTCCTAGCCTGTAGGAGCTACATAGCCTGTGACATCTGTCAACGCCGTGCCATTCGATGCACAGCAGCCTGTGACATCTGTCAACGCTGTGCCATTCGATGCACAGCAACTTAGACTGCGAGAATCGG